TCGTTGGCAGAAGATTCATATTCTTAACGTGTTGCAAGCCCTTTTTACCCATCTTTGGTGAAAACAACGGAATTCCACTTTACTCCGCTAATGGATTTTTGAGATGGGCTACGATTTTTTTGAATAAGATTTTGACTTAGAATACGTCAAAATCACTCAATTTGGGTATGCAGATGGATTGTCACGGTTGATGAAGAAGAAGCAGAATGCAAAAGAAGACGTTGTGATAGCGGCTGTCGAGAACAACATGACCGAAACGTTAAGAAATTGTATGAAAAGACTATCGTTGAAAAGTTCTAACATAGAAAAATACACGGAGAAGCACTAAATGACAAGAAAAAGCCAAGAATCCTATTAAGGTATTACTAGAAGGGTGGCCAACACAAACCCAGGCGTGGCAACCAAATTCACATAAACCTCGCAAGACCCGTATGAGGAATTAAGTACATGTCACAGTTAATACTTATAATGAATGGACCGAAATGGCTGGGATGTAAGTTGCCAATGCGACAAAGAATGGGAAGGTTTTGTAAAGAATGTTTGCTAGATGTGGACTACCGCAAACTATCGTGACTGACAATGGAACTCAGTTCACGTCAAAACTGTTCGAAACATGTGTAACTCAGAAGGATTTCTGCACATAAAGATTGTTCCTTATTATCCCCAGTTAAATGGACAAACAAAAAGTTTTGTTGATACCCTTAGACGCGGAATCAAGAAGCTTGAGGGAGAGGAGAGGCCGACGGGAGAAACTACTGATTTATTATAGGCCTACACGAACACCAAACGCGACTTTGAACGACAAGAAAGACACCGGCGAATTATTTCCTGGGAGGAAATTACGCACGAGACTTAGCCAATTAGTACCAAAATCAGAAGCAGTGTGTGAGAAGAAACAGACGCGAACACAGGAAAGACAATTCTGACAGAAAACACTAAGAGGTTCCGAAGGAATTCAAATTGGCGAATCGGTGTACGTAAAACAATAAAGCCACCTCATTTTTGTTGGTTTCAAGGCACAGTAAGACGTCTTGGATGAGTTGACTACGAAGAGAAGATTAGCATAGAGTTGCAAGAAGCATGCTAACAGCTTCGGCGTTGAAGCAAAGATGAAGAAGATTCAACAATTGAAAGCCTTGAAAGTACGAAAATACTACCAGATCTCCTCGCAAAAAATGAAGGCCTACAAAAATAAAAGCTTAGTCGAACAGTATGTGAACGAAGAGGCTTTTTTACACTTTTCACAATCAAGGAATTCATCTTTGTCGAAAACGAGCCATCAGTCATCTATGCGGCCTATGGTGGTAAATGAAACAAAGTCAGAAGATCACTACAACGTCCAGCTTATGTGATCTGACTGTGAATGTATATTGTACCTTCGATAATGAAGTAGGCTGGTTTGAGATGTAAGTACCCTACTGAGGAAGGTGTTGTGACTTTTAGGCTCCGTCCACGGTAGCGGAGCTGTGCCAGCGCCGGAACAACGCCGAAGTAGCGCCGAGCTCATTTGGCGCTGTTTCGGTCGATACATGTCCATTTTATAGAGGGGGGGCTAGCTGACCTCATGCCGGTACAACGTTATTATTATTCATTTAACTACAGAGATTTCGATCAATATTTGGTGCAGTTACTTGATTAAGAACTAAGTCAGCTAGCCCGCTCCGAACGAAATTATTTACTGACCGAGACAGCGTCGGGTCAGCCAGGGCTCGGCACGAGGTGGGCAAATGACAAGCTGGAAATCGTTTTGGGGCCAAAAAGCAAAGGGGATATCGTTTTTGCGGGATCCGGCGCGAAGCCCCGGAAGAAGATTCCATGTGCGAGCAAAAGAAGGTCGAATCATGCTTACAATTATACATCTAATTCATAGGAAAATAGTTTTCATAAACATCAACGCACAGCAGACTTCGCGCGCACTACGCCGCGTTTCCGCTAATTGTGAGCGATGCCGTTGAACACCATGATTACATGATCAGTTCTCAATGCAGGCGTACTTATATAGCACCAAATTACGTAAGCTAACAAAGAGAGGCTAGTGGAAACAAAGCATGAAATGTTATGAAAAACTTATGTGAATTGGAAGTGTAATAAGCATTTTTTCCAAAAATTTCGCAAAACTGGTAAACGACGATGTGAATTTGAATGGCTCGTTTGCAGCGCACAGATGACCATACGGTATGAAACTTGGTAGGTACATGAACACGGGCCTGCAGGGCTTATCTTAGAAGTTTTATTGAAAAATTATGTGAAGGTTGTGGCAAGCTTTTCTCTGAAAATTTCCCACTATCAAGAAAATGGAAAAAAGGCTCGTTTGCAGCGCAGAGAAAACGAAATCGCGCAAGAATTGGTGTGCATACGCGCAGTAGGACTAAGGAACAAAGTATGAAAAATTATGAAAGACTTATGTGAATGAAGAGCGTGCTTAACTTTTTTCCAAATTAGGTGGGCAACTACCCACCTAATGCCCACCTGAGGTGGGCAAAACTTTCAATTCACATAATTTTTCAAAATTTTTACATAAATCTGTTTTTCACATAAAGTTTACTATATGGTGAGATTTTGGTTCCAAAACTCCTCCTCTTATCTTTGTTAGCGCCCAAAATCGCATCAGCAGCCTAGCTTTCTAAGATGGAAAGCGCGCCCCAGTCAATCGATACGCGCGGGGACGGCGTCTCTCAGCCCTATGATTGCGTTCCTTTGATATTTTTTCATTCCTTCATCTTTTTCCTTGCTTATTCTTCTTCCTGTTTTTTATCTTGATACAGGTGAGAAGTAATTAGAGGAATTTGAGCATTTTGGGCGTTTTTGAGCGCTTTTAGGCGAAGTGTGGCCAGTGCTCTCGTTCCACAAGCACAAAGCGTCATTTTTGGGCTCAAGAGGGTATTCGTAAAAACTATTGGAGTCAAAGGGATATTCGTTTTGGAAAACCCCGTCTGCCCACCTCGTGCCGAGCCCTGGGGTCCGGCACTAGTTCGGCGTTAGGCCGGCGTGACACAGCCCCGGCACTGTGAACGGAGCTTTAGTGAAGGCGCTCAGTGAAAACGACTTTGAAAAAAATTGATATTTTCTTTTACAATCCGTTTATCTAACAAGTAAGTAGGCTATAATAGCAGCTTAATTCGTAGAGACGTACCGTTTTACTGTCTTACCGCTGGAGGGCAAATAAAGAGTTTTCGCTGTTGTCCATAAACACAACATGATTCTCAAAGCAAGCCACAATGAAATTTGCGAAAACCGACTTCTTTCGCATACCTATCTCATCGACGGGTTACTGCAGTTCTATATACGGGGTGTCTCAAAAATTTATCAGACAGTTAATTTTAGTAACTCTTTTGTATAAAAAAGTTGGACGTTTTTCCAGGTACCATGTTGTAATACCTTGAACTCACAACTTAGACTCACAGCACTGAGCGAGTAAGTGATGCGAAGTAGTAAAAAGTAGTAAAAGTAGTAGCCTTGCATGAAGGTTCCCGCATCAACGAAAAACTCAACGATGATTAGAAAGTAGTGATTTGCTTTATGCGTGAATCGAGTTCCCAGCTCTGCGACAGCCCAGTTCTGGTGACTAGAAAACTGCCAAGGCTTTGTTTACAGGAGATTTCAAATTCAAACAAAATGAATTCAAACAAAAGTTTTGGGACACCGTATTTAGGAAGAACTAACTTCAAATTTGTTCAGTTAGATGATATCAGGTTCTGCAATAAGTCGTGTCGCATTATTCCTTTGATTTTTCCCAATAGTTTGCACGGTGCTTTGTAAAAAAATATAATGAAACATTTGAAAGCTTTAAGCTTGCTTTACCAAAATTTTCGCTTCGGTTTGTTACATAGGAAAATTTGGAAAAATAGCAAGTCACGGAATGAGAACCAAACAAACACTATCGGTACGGGATAATCTAGAAGAGGCTGAAGATTATGGTGTACGGCTATAAAATCGTGCTTAATACTCAAGAATTTGAAGTTTGAGGGCCACACAGCTTATGCGAGAGAGACGACGAACATCGCCGCGACAAAGTCTTGCTTCGCCGACTTTCAAAGAAATGACATTGTAGGGCGGTCGAAGGGAGGGAACAAGCAAAAAGAATGGACAAAGAGTGGCAGTACATAAAGTCTAGTATTGTTGGGGAAAGACGCATATGAATCTGTTTTGAAAGCATATACAGTTTATTCCAAATAAGGTCAATAAGTTGAGAAAAAACTAAAACAAAAGTTATAACAAAACTTATCATACAACCTAATGTATAGGACAAATTGTTGAGCTTAGCAAAAGAAAATCAAGTTTCGGAAGAAAGTTTTTTCCTTTCTGAAGTAAAATTTGACAAAAGCAATTCCATGTTTCTTTTTTTATTTAAACTTATTGTAATTACGGTGGTGCTCTCACTTTCGTTATAGGCACTTCATCGATAGCAGTATTGTGTTATATATTGGGATATCTGTCAAGTTCTATAAGAGTCAAAGGAAAAATGACAATGAAGTAAAGACTGTAGGCCGCTGGGGACAATTGCTGTATCACACAAAGATGGAAAATGCGGCTTATGCAACAATGCGCTTCTGTTCAATATGTGTTTATAGAGAGCAATGAGATAGTGTTTGAGATTAGATAGACTACATGTCTACATCTCGAAAGCTTCAGAACAGGCTTTTTCAAAAGCGCGCTTTCTTACCCAATGAGATGCTCATGTATGCGCTTCTAAGCCAAAGTTCAGCTTTATTTTAACATTTAGCAAAATGTCTACCTGTTCCACATGACTCGGATAAACGAGCGATTGCTAGCCGCTTTAAATTGTAAAGCTTAATTGCAAAGCATTTAGTCACGTGTCCTTTAATCCACGAAAAAACGAAGATATTTGAGATTTTTCATTTTTCAAACAGTTTTTTGTATGCCTGACTTGAATAAGACAGCAAAAAACGACGGCAAGTAATCAAACAGCTCGAAACTAACTTTGAATAAGAAAACTGAGTGGTTATCCTATTTAATTGGCCGCAAGTTTTTCCTGTGATTCAATTGATCGTCATTTTAAGACTATATACTATCAAAATTTCTATTTCGAACAAACTTACGTTACAAAATTTTTCTTTTTTCCACGCTTCAACAACTTCTTTAGCTACACCTGTTCCGTTTGTATAATTAAACGCTCCTCTGGAAATGTTTGCAGTAACGCGATATAGGATATCTGTTACGACTTACCTCAAGATATAGTCGTAAGAATAGTACTGAATTACGTTGGATTTTTCGTATACTCTCAAGTATGCATAATAATCCGCAGTATCGTGCGTATAGCAATTGTACTGCTAAAAGGGTAATAATTGAAAACCGCAGTTTCAAAGTCTGTTCTATTTCTAAATCTGAGATTATCCAAAAAGCAAAGATGGCATTGGCATTTCGGCATAAGTTTTCAATTTTAGTAGGTGAACAAGAAAATATGTGTTCAAAACTACAAGTGTAAGCTTACCAATTGCACGTTGCACGTCTCCTTTAATTGATGCTTGAAGATATCAATCCAGTCGTTGGGAAAATAGCCCCCGGTATGTCCATACTTGCAGTTATTCCTTGGTACCGGACTTGGCCCTGGTCTCATTTCAGCGAAGTTAGGAGCAGGCAGAAACTGATATAGCTGTGATCAATTCTACTGTTTCGAGGAACAAAACGTACAGTGATGAGAAAGCAGTACAACACCCCAGAAGCAATGCTCGCACATCCGCCAGAGGCTCTTATGCAGTCCCTTATCCACGAAACTCTAAATACAGACTAAAATAGTGTGTAATCAATTTCGCAACAAACTCATTTTTTGTAGAAACTTATCTTATCTGGTCTATGTATCATATGGGACTTATTATTAATAAATCTATTAATTTTGCCATAAAAAGGAATTTATTATTTTGTATTTGAGGCAAAAGATCCGCAATGTCGACTCACAAAATAGTACTTCGGGATGATACTCTTTTTATAAACGACAAAGATCGTCACTAATGAATTTTCCCTTAAATGTGCTCTGTGGATATTTTATCAAAATAAGTAGATGAGTAAATGTAGTGAGTAAATGACTACGCACCTGAGTATAAACTATATCAAAAGCAAAAATGGATATTACATTTAGATTTTGCGCTCCTATTACACCCACTTTCGTCCCAAAAATTCTTTTTGTTTTTGTCCTATCATAAAGAAATGTGGAAAAAACGATGAGAGTAGAGATTCAAAACCATTCGACGCAGCTCTTCCCTCCTTACAATGGTTATGTTTCTATTAGGTGTCCAAAAGTTTGTGTCGTTTCACCTATTCTGAGGTTCAGAATGATGACACACATCGTTCAAACAGTACCCAAAGCAGAATTTCTTTTTCTTTCCAGGGGAATCCTCAAAATATCAAAGTTCCATAACTCGGTTATTACTACCACTAGTATTACAAAGTAAGTGAGCGATTAAAATTGCAGTAGAAATTCGCATAGGTATTTTCGTAGAGCATTTTGCTGATTCCGTGCCGCTTACGGCTTGACAATTTTGGACTTACGAATGCTCTTAACATTTTTCAGAAAGTTGTATTGCAATAAAGAAAAGCAAATTTGGAATCGCCGTTCAAATACGCGTCTAGACGTATTAGTTTGTACCGAATCTGGCATTTCAATTCTGAAATTTTATAACTTTTTACTGTGTCAGCGGATTTGCGCCTTTTCAACTTCGTTAGAAAGAAAAGGTCTTCCTCTTTGTAGGCGTGCCTCGACGAGCTTTTACTCTACATTCGTTTGAGGTAGAAATGAAAAAAAAAGACCACTTGAGCTTTCACCATTTCAAGCTAGATCGCCAAAAGTTTGGAACGCCGCAGAAAATTCTGATTTGGCAGTATATACGTTCCAAGACCTATTCTCTGCATGTGAAACAATTGTGCCTTCTAAACGTTTCGATGAAAAGTTATAATTTTCGAGTTTACAATAAAAACGCCCAAATTGACTAATTTGTCACTTTTTTCGAAAATCATAACTTTTCACTAAAACGTCCAAACAGCACGATTTTTCTCAAATGCAAAGAGTATGTCCTAAACTATATATTGATAATTCCAGATTTTTCTGCAGCGTCTCAGATTTTGGCGACCTAACTTGAAATGGTCAAAGCTCAAATGATCTCTTTTTCCATTTTTATCTCTGCAATGAATGTATAGTGATAGCTCATCAAGAAAGGCCTGCAAATAGGAGGACTTCTTCTTTCTAATAAATTCAGAAAGACGCAAGTCCATTGAGACAGTAAAAAGTTACAAATTTTCAAAAATAAAACGATAGTACTTTCGGGGCAACCTAATATATTAGGTTGTCTGGAAATTAATGCAGGCTGCGCAAATTTTCAATGTAAAGTATCACAACTTCTTTGAAATTGCGTATCGAGATGAGGTAAGAACTAAGAACTGCTGTCATGAGCAAGATTTGTTTATTCAAAGCATGTCCGGTTACACCTGTACCTCCAACATGCAAATTACTGGAAACCAGAAAGTGAGAAGAGTTTTCTTTGACAAGGCTTTGTACTCCCATCGGATATGAGTGTTCAGCGAGAAACTTCTGCAGCTTATAGTCACAAACCAGTACTACATATATAGTATGCAAAACTTTTTCTGGGAATTCTACGAAACAAATTCTTGCGGAATCAAAACTTTTTATTTTTCCGACATTATCTCTACGGCTGCGATTCCGAAAATTGTAAATTTTTATTTACTCACCAAAAAGTAATCCCGGGAGGTAGAAATAGTACCTGATGGCATTGGCCTCACTCTTCAAGCATGGGAGAAACTTTCGTTGTCGCTTTTTTTAGAAAAGTTTCTTACGCCGTGGAGTTGTCGCGGCTATTGGTCATGTTAAAGCCTCACTTTCTCTGTTCTCACAATTGTTACAAGGAAACGTTACTGTTCAATCTGTAGGTTCACTTTGACTTCTTACTTTAGCTATATTATCATGGAGATACTTTTGTTACTAAGTAAGTTTAAGCCAATACAGTAAAAAGGTAAATTTTATAATTCAATGCTTCACCTTCAAATGCTCGCAAAATTTAAACAAAAAGAGTTGATCGTAGAAGTAAATTATATAAAAGAGAGGATAAAGAGCGCTTTCTCGCCGGACAACCTAATACAACTAATATGATCGCCAAGTAAAGTTGGTTTTCTTACTGTTTAGCAGTTTCTTGAAACAATATAGACAGATAGGATGAATGGAAAAAAAAATTTCTCGCTCAACCTAGTCCAAGTTTAATCACAAGTGTGATAGGTGGACTAATTTCTCTGCATCCCTCTTCTATTGGGCCGCCATCTGGATGACCCGGGTGTAGGCCCTTCTGAACCCACTCTAATCGCGATGGCTGCGATAGGTCAGCGCGTCTCAGAGGTCACGTCTTAATTCGCTACTTCGATAAGGCGAGCGGTTGACCCAAGTAGGTACGCTGCGGAAACGGATGAGTTCCCCGGTAATGACCTCTCTCCCTCGAATCCTTGATAGAGATGTCGTAGACGCGTGATTCAACCGAATGCTGCTATTTTGCTGTCTTTCCTAACAAACTCGCTGCCATTTACTAAAGTGACGTGCTTCCAATCACCTGTGGGATGTGTTTGCTTCGACTACTGAAGAACTCTATTTTTGGTTGAGCAAGGTGAGTGCTGGTAACTCATTTGTACATGTGTGCAATCCTTGCTGCATCGTTTATCGTCGATTCATTTGTGTATGTGAAGTAAACGAAGCCTGCATTGAAAACACACTTTTTGGTTTAATTTTTGCTGATAACCCGAGACCCAAGATTCGGGTTAATGAAGTTTTTCGCCAACACTTTGATTTTGCGTCCATTATAGCGGCTGCATAATTATATTCGTGTAAACCATACAGATACTTATCAGTTTCGAACCTAGTTGTAAGCAAGGAAAGTAGCGGAAATCACTGTTTTGTGACTGTAGAGAGCTGAGAAGTTCTAGAATCTAGCTCAGAAATTTGATCTACAAGCGGTGGCCTATGAACGTTCAAAATTCCATGCACAACCCAAAAATTAGCGAGAAAGGAGCAGCGTTTGCGCAAAAAACTAGATGATACCAAACAAATGCCTTGGTATTAAGCGAAAGTCGTTTAGAGCAAACGTTACTACACAAATTTCTAGAATTTTTTTTTTGAAATTTTTTCAGTTAAAGGCCTATTTCACAGTGGCGCAATATGCTAAGAGTTTATACCGTAATCCTCAAAAAAGGTTGGAAACTCTCTACATGAGTCTAAGTTGAACCTCCCTCTACAGAACAATGCCTTAAGCTCGGCAAAAGACATGGAAGCAAGAGAATTATTAACAGTGTTCAAATTTTTTTTCGGAACACCTTGTATATTAAAACTGTATTACTAGGTGGCAAACCCTCTCTCTGAGCCTCTCAATGATATTTTCGTAAACAGCATGCACACTTACCTTCTGTACCAGCTCCTGACCGGCTCGTAGGTGAAACTTTGCAAATTTGATAAAATCGATATCGATCAATAACAAAAAGTAGCCTTCGACGCCCCGCCCCGAAGTGTATGTGCCCCAGCATTAGTTCAGAAGTCAAATTTAAAATTTCTATTTGGAAACGTAAGAGCATACATACAGACATGCAAACAGACATTTGGCTTTATTCATATTATAAAGTGCGAAGTTTTATGCTACAAAAATTGCTTACTGAGCGTCGTTTTTTGAAAAACCTAAACCGAGAAACTGACACAAAATGGTGAATTCTGGAACCATTTTATGATGTATAAGAACTTTAGGCGGAAGCAATTGCAGAGCTTTCACTCTGTTCTTTGCCCATTTCAAAATGCAAAAAAACTCGGAGTTTTGGTATCATTTTTGCAGGAAATTCCCTCAAAATTCAGGTTTCATTCTATGATTTGTCCTGACATTGACTAAGCTGTTATCAAAATTTATGCTGGCATATTTGAAAGCGAGTTATGCTTTCTAAAACAAGACCTTCCCAAGAAAATTTTTTGGCAATATTCGCGTCAGGAAATCTTTACTGTAGCGCTACAATCATACAGAAGCATGTTTTGTGTACCTAAAGGTTGGCCGCTTATAATGATATATATTGCGGCTAGAAAGATAGCGAGAAGAATATTATCGTGATTCAAATTTCAATTTGGACGCGCTTTTGATTATAAATCAACTATAAGAATATCATCCGCAGAAGGTTTCATGCGGAAATTTTCAAAAACTTATGTGCCGTAACAATTTTTCCCGGATTAGTCCTCCTCCATATCGCCATAAAAAAATTGGCTTCAGCCTGGAGCATATATTTCTGGGACTTCGCACAAATTCTATCTCTTCCATTATAGACGACTCTTCAGTCATAAACTGCTTGAGCGAGAAACCGAAAATCGCTGCCTCTTTTCTGATTTTTCCTTTGATTTGCTAATAAACCTTGTTAAATATCGCGCCCCAATGCTAACTTCTTGTGCAGTGAAAATTTTAACGGTTTGTGCTAGTTTTTTTTGATTTACAAATCCAGTCTCTTCCGGTGCCTGTAAAAACACCAAGAAGAAGGCGACAAGTTTCCAGTGAGAATTGAAGTGGACTTCCTAAAATTCTGGCGAAACCAAAAGGGTCGTTCCGAAAATTACTTAAAATGGCTCGGGCCGGGCTTTGGACATTTGCTTCGGTGCGTGTGCATTGGGAAAAGGTCAACTGTATTCACAGACTTGCTGAAAGATTGAAACAAAATATCGGTTTATTTTTTGATTTTTGGATACTTGAACAGTTTTTTGGAGCAAGCGGTCGAACAATAGGTCAGAAGTCAAACGACTTTTGTTCGCCATTCCACATGGAAGAATAAATTGAAAAATGATTTGAAACATAGATATGGAGTAACAATCCACATTCGAAATATCATTCTAAAACATAACAGCTAAAATAATATTGATCAAGTCGAACGGGATGTTATATATGTGTAGTGTAACAATGCACACAAGTAAAGAATGTTGTTTACAGAAATTTTCTTTATGATGCGCATTATTAGCTGTTTTACGTATAACCATGTTCTTTCTAGCTGGAACAAACTGAAGGCCGTGTTCATCAACAAACTTAAAAGTAAAACTTGCCCTTAAAAGTAAAACTGATTATATTTTCTCTCAAGTTTTGCTTGGTATCACGAAGCTGCCTGAGGGTTAAAAATGCTCATAAACTAGCTTTGAGAGTAAAGTCTACCCCTGAAAGCAATCATTGGGATATATCTTACCCTTGAGGTACCTGGTATTTACGCTGCTGGTTAAACATATTTGATGGTCAGCAAGTGCTCATTGACGTTTCTTTGTTGAGTCAATCTCGCGTCTGGTAAACTTAAATCACATACTGCCTAAGTTTATGTGTTGGGTTGTTCTTGTAATCTATTTCCATTCTTTTGCTGTTGTGCCAGTTTTATCGACTAATTAGTTTTACGTACCTTGCTAGCCCCTGACCCAGCTTTACTAAGTTCCACTTCGGTTTAACGCTTGTTATAATTCGTATTGGAAAAAATTTGAATTTTTTGGTTATCATTTTCTTTTCGTTGTACTATTGATGTCGTTTGAAGTTATCGTCCAATATAATTATTCAGCCAAGTTTACTATTCGGTAAAAATTTAGTTCGAATTAGGTAGTCCAACAAAGGAACATATGGCGAACATCAAGCCCAATAACTCAGATAGCATTCGTCGTTTCAACAAACTCAGTTGCGATAGCGGTACAAATTGCAAAAGACTTTCGTATCATGGACCTTCCTCAGTTAAATCCTACTTCAATAACATATCCGTTTAGTAAATGATTTGATGAATTAAACTATCGTGCAACTATCGTTCCACTCTAAGCCTCAAATCGAGACGAAAAGAGGCCACAAGATTGAGATAATAAGAATTATAGGTACGTGTTTGTTGTCAGAACAGTGGTCTATATAATTTAATCAAACTTTACGGTATTATGGTACTTACAGTATACTTTTACGGCTGCTCCTGTTCCTGTTGTGTTGGACGAGCTTGATCTTGACAAACATGATTTGAAAGGCCAACCTGCAAAGAGATGAAACTGAGGAACATCAAGTCCAGAAAGCAAAAGCAGAAGCAAGGAAAGATTCATGCGAAAATCAGATCAAAAGGAGATACATTTTCAGTACTCTGGAGATAGTAAAACCATTCCCTGTAAATATAGTGATGACGGTGAAAAATAATGGCCCGCAGTAAAGCTGCTTCATTCGATCTCAACTGAATAAAATTTCATTTGAGGCTTCGACGAGTCAGCTTGTTGATTGCTATTGCCAACCACCCATGATGATAAGATTGAGAGCGCCACGTCCATGCAAGTATACGAGTCAAGACGAGTTTGCCAAACATTCACATCTACGTCATTGGCACTAGCGGCGGGGATGTGGCCGCACCTGTTAGATCTTGTTAACTATCGTCAGCATCACTGTGGCTCCTCACCGAAATGTTAAATTGACGTGTAACGTAAGTTACTCATAAGGGAAAGTTCCCAAGTTAGCTCGGTCAACCCGGATGGCTCATATATCACCGTAACGGGCTTGAAACGCTGATTCCAAATCGCTTTCCTTTTCTGCGGAGCTACTTTTCGAGGGAAGTGATGAGCGTTTAAATGTCTAAATTTGTCATGTTCAAAGTGGCTTAAAATCAGTTGAAAGCTGTAAAATAAAACCTAACGGTATTTCGTTATCTGTGTTCTGTCCTTGTAATCAATATACTTGATACAAAACTGATAAATCACTTTCGTGTGTTATTGTACAGGTTTCGCCAATTTTAAGCCACTTAAAACATGACAAATTTAGAATTTTAAAACGCTCATAACTTCTCTCGGAAAGCCGCTCCCAGAAAAGAAAAGCAGATTTGGAATCAGCGTTTTAAGCCCGTTACGGGGATATATGGCTCATCCCGGTTGGCCTAGCTGACTTGGGAACTCTCCCTCATCAGGAGTAACTTACGAGAAATTTCTCTGCGTATCATCATTGACACACCATTTAAATCAATTGGTAGCCTAACTGAATGTGGACTGACTGAAGTAAGGTAGACTACCTCGTCAGGTAGACGGACGGTCAACTGAAATTTCGTTTTGCATCCTTACTACATGGGAAACCGGTGATAGGCAGTCTACCTTACCGAATCTTGGATGAGGGCCTCAGTTCAGTTCACCTAAACTGAATTAGCTTTACTACGGGCCAATGTCATGAATTCATGTTTTTTTCCGAGAGCTGCTGCTTCAAGGCAGCGTCCAGGCAAATCTGGACATATGAGCATCATACGTCGAAGATAATTTTGGGACCCCAACTAAGACATTGCCCAAGCGGGAGCCCAGATGGTGTACTCGGCTGAGATAGGTGCCTCCAAACTGGACCCCGGGATCACATTAACGGACGACCTGCCACCCGACCCATCAGTTTTGCGTGGGTCCTCGCGCGAAAATACGCAAGTACAATGTAAGTCGTTCGTTAGTACGATCCTGGGGTCAGAGTCGGATATCTTAGCCTTGGGTGAACGGCGCTGCCGCTTGGGCAGTGTCTTGGCTGTGGCCCTGAAATTATTTTACACATGAGATCTTTATAGGTCTAGATTTGCCTGGACGCTGCCCTCCAGGATGTCACTTTTGTACACCCGATTTTCGGCGTGCGCCCTAGCTGCACCTTATGTTATGTTAAAGCTTTGATCCATTTATTGGTTAGCTGCATTTGGTCGTTTACTTCTCAAAACGCTAGAAAAATGGTTCAGAAAGAAGTTTGTGCATAAATGCTCATTGTAATAGGCCGTCCGCGCAAGGTGCGCAGGGTGTGTACTGCGCGTCACTCCCTTTTCCTCATGCACTCTCAACCCCTTGTTTCTCCGCGCTTCTTCCAGTCATGAACTATCTTCAACGGAGCAACAGCGTTGCTTTCCGAGCACAGCGCGAACGGCCTATTTGTGTCAACCTTTTGGGTGGGAAAAATGACACTAAAAATTGATAACAATGTGAATGACAAGATTCGGAGTGAACAAAGGCAGATCGCAATAAGACACCCGCCATACTTGATTCTGAATACTCTTAATCCGCGTGATCCGCTTCGTGCAAGGCATGCGCACACAGCAGTTTATCAGTTGGCGGCGAGTAAGTAAAAAGGAATTTCGCATTGAGGAATTAATTAGGGATTACGCAAATTTGCTGTACACGTGTACATCAAATGACGAAACAACGATGCACGTTTCGCACGAAACGGATCAAGCGCATCAAGTGGATCCAGTGGATCAAGAGGATCAAGTATGGCAGGTGCCTAACGGAGAGCATGACATGAACGACTATCAAGTGTTCTTTTAAAGGGTTTTTGTAGTACAAAGTAGGTAGAACTCGTGGCCATGAATGGGCGCCATTTAATGAAATTTGTTATTGATTAAAAAGCTTTAAAAGTTACACGAGCGCATTTGGCATGCACGTGTGTTGTTAAAGTGCTGATCATAGGACTCTACAAATCCTGCAAAAGCTGGTTTCGCATTTGTTTCATTTCGTTCTAGTAAACTTTGGAAATCGCTTTATGTTAGCATTGGCTAGGTATAACTCAAATTATTGTCATTTTGCCTGACTAAGGTCGTTGGTTAAGCAATTTAAATCATTTTTAACGCAGAGCGAAGAAAATATCATTTCAAATTGCGTTTTGAGATGCATAGAATAAGGGTAACGCCAACTAGATGCTGATTAGCACTAATTCCAAGTGAATAGTCGTATCCCCAAAAATACACGTAACTGTTTGGATATCTGCACGTTTTCGGGAAGCTTTCCAAAAAAAATTTAGGTTGAAAAATGTGCAGCTTTTGATAAGCGAATCCTTCAGAATTCAAACTTTGATTTGCAATGTTTTGAAGTATGCGAATTTTGCTGACAGAGAGCATTGACATTTTCTATTGGCCCATAAGAACGTTGATTGTAGGATGGAGGCATAATAGGCGCCATCTAGTCACCTCATTGAAAAACCACAAAAACATGACGTCTTATTCGATAACCCCTAAATGTTCTTTTTGCATTTGTGAGGTGTTTGCCAAAAACATACCTATTCAACGGCGCTAGAGATATGAGAAAAAACTGAAGTGTGAGCATTCTGGACAGCTAATAGAAGATATATCACATTTATGTCAAAAAGGTGGTATAGAACAGTGAAAAAATTGTGACGTTTTCGCACCGCGCGCGACACTCACGCGCTTCCAGCAACTGCATTTTCTTGTTTATCTCTACTCGAATGGTTTTTCTGCTTACTTATGATAGTAACTCGACACAGGAAGTGAATGAGCTGGGCATAGTTGATCTTGTATGGATGTTTTATGCTCCTACATGCGCAAATACCGCAGTCAAATTTGTTGTCACGATTTCAAGAATGACCTGTACTTTTCCGTTAACCCCTTTTCAAAGAATTCTCGTGAAATGAGTGCTTTTGTCTAAAAGAAATCTTTATAAACTTATGAGGTCTCTTTACCTGTCACGTGTAAGAAAAAATCAGCACGTTTTGATTCAGCTTTACATGCTTTCTCAATAGATTATATTCGGTAAAGCACAAGATAACTCAAGAGTTCTTTATTTTTTGATGAAAGGTAAAACAGTCAAAAGTTTATCATATCCTAGTCACAGCCACGTCTGTACTAGGCTACTCAAAATGCTGATATTGAGTATAAAATTGCGCATCAGAGTCTTATTTCTTCCGACTTATTACAAACCAAGCGGTTTCCCAAAGTTTTCGAAGAAGTAGTTACAACAGTGAACAGTTCAAAAATTTTGTAGAAAGTTGTGTAACAAGCTAATCAATATGCGCGAAACCTCTGCTACACGAATTTTTAGATTTTTTTTCTGGATTTTTTGAGTCAAATGCTCATTTCACAACTGCGCTGCATCCTGGTTTATAATGAAAAACTAAGTCGAAGCCGGATCTACAGAATAGTAGTTAAAACTTTTCCAAAGACTTCATAACCAGGAGTTATTTACAACCAAACGTCAGGCACATTCTTTTACGACACCTTGTATGATGTTAACGCAATAGGGTGATGCCAGTTAAATTTAGGATTTGCTCACTTTAAGCGACACAGAACTCTTGTTCAAAACCTGTGAATCATGTAAATAGAATGCAGTTTCTTTTATCACGTAGCGGGAAGTTGAGGACTTTTTTCTTGCTAGTGAAAGTAAATATGTTGCAGCAGAAGAAATGAAATTTTATTTAAAAACTGGGTCAAAGTAACAAAAAGTACAAAGCTTTGTAGAAACTTGTTTCTGTAACTTTTTCCAAACCTCCCATAGTCTCCACTTCAACGAATTGCCATTAGTTCATGATTCCGCCCTTTTTGTTGTGGAACGCTAGGTTGGCACATAAGCGGGGCAAAGGATAGGGATGCGGTATGTAGTTTAATACTAATTACTTGTTTTGACCACATGCAACTAGTGTGCTACTGTGCAACAATAAAAATCGAAGCGATGCGATGAAACTTGCT